AGCAGCAGCAGGAGCAGCCCGCGGGAGCAAAACCATTCAGAAGCCGTATGGACAGGGCCTCTGCTGTCAATAGTTGGGGATCCGATGGTTCGGGAAAGCCCTTTACCTGTGGAGAGGTTGAGAAGGGCTTGCTGTCTGGCTCGGGGCATCTGGGGCAAGAGGCCACTCGTACTGGGGAGAAACCACACACGATCCCCCAGTGCAGGGCAACGTTACGATGCGGAAGCAGTCATGGCACTTGTTGTGGATCCAAGAACACCTTTGGTCCCAAACACATAGATACTCGGGACCAGGGTGTCCATCTTGGTAGAGAGTCCTTTGTGTGCAGTGAATGTGGGAAAACATTCAGGTACAAATCCTTATTTGCCATACACCAGAGATACCATACTAGAGCACGACTTCATGAGTTTGGTCCATGTGGAAAGTCCCTTGGGCAACAACCAACCCTGAATGAACATGGGAAGACTCAGGGTGGATCCAGGCAGTACACGTGCAGCAAATGTGGGAAATCCTTAGGTGACAAATGTGTCCCCCTTAATGTCCAGAAATTGCCCAGTGGAGGGAAAAATTATGTTTGTAGCGGATGTGTGAAATCTGTGAGTGGTAGCTCAGTGTCGATTACTCACAGGGTTCAGTCTGGAGATAGGTTTTATAAGTGTCATGTCTGTACAAAATCTTTTCCGTCTATGTCTGCCCTCTGTTATCATCAGCGATCTCACACCGGGAAAAGACCGTATGAGTGCAGTGATTGTGGGAAATCTGTTACCAGTACTTCATCTCTCCGTTCTCACCAGAGAATTCACACTGGAGAAAGGCCTTTTAAATGCAATGAATGTGGGAAATGTTTTGTTCATATTACTTCCCTCCGTTATCACCACAGAGTTCACAGTGGAGAAAGGCCTTACGAGTGTAGCAAATGTGGCAAATCTTTTATGAGTCGTAGTGGCCTCCGTCATCACCATAGTGTTCACACTGGAGAAAAGCCCTATATGTGCCGTCAATGTGGCAAATCTTTTACAAGTAATTCTCAACTCTCTTGTCATCAGTGGGTTCACACTGGAGAAAAGCCTTATATGTGCCGTCAGTGTGGCAAATCTTTTACAAGTAATTCTCAAGTCTCTTCTCACCAGTGGGTTCACACTGGAGAAAAGCCTTATAAGTGCAGTGAGTGTGGGAAATCCTTTGCTAGGAATTCTGCCCTCTGTCGTCATCAGAGAGTTCACACTGGAGAAAGGCCTTACAAGTGCATTGAATGTGGGAAATACTTTCGTCGAAAAAGTTCTGTCCATTATCACATGAAGCTTCATCCAGGTGAACAAACTTATAAGTGTTATTTATGTGGGAAATCTTTTACTGCTAAATGTTCCTTCCATTTTCACCAGCAAACTCATGCTGGACAGAAACCTTATCAGTGTATTGAATGTGGGAAATGTTGTACTACTCTTTTTGGCTTTCGTAATCACTGCAGACGTCACACTGGAGAAAGGCCTTATGAATGCCGTGAATGTGGGAAATCATTTACCTCTAATTCTGCTCTCCATTATCACCAGAAAATTCACACTGGGGAAAGGCGTTATGAGTGTAGCGAATGTGGCAAATGTTTTATGAGTTTTAGTGCCCTCCATCGTCACCAGAGAACTCACTCTGGAGAAAAGCCTTACAAGTGCCATGAATGTGGGAAATCCTTTACTGCAAATTCTACGCTCCGAACTCACCAGATACTTCACACTGGACAGAAACCTTATAAGTGCAGTGAATGTGAGAAATCTTTCATCACTAGGAAACAGCTCCAGGATCACCAGATAGGTCACAGTGGAGAGAGACCTTATAAATGCCCTGACTGTAGCAAATCGTTTGTCCGGAAAAGTACCCTCAGTAAACACAAAATGCGTCACACAGGTGAACGGCCTTATGAGTGTAATGAATGTGGGAAATCCTTTTTTACTAGATCTGCCCTCCGTTCCCACCTAACACTTCACACTGGAGAAAAGCCTTATGAGTGCAATGAATGTGGGAAATCTTTCCGTACTGTTTTTTCCCTCCGTTCTCACAACAGAGTTCACACTGGAGAAAGGCCTTATATGTGTAATGAATGTGGGAAATCATTTGCTGATAATTCTGCCCTCCACCGTCACCAGAGACTTCACACTGGAGAAAGGCCTTACCAGTGCAATGAATGTGGGAAATCTTTTATTACAAGTACTGCCCTCCGTTGTCACAAGCTAGTTCACTCAAGAGAAAGGCCTTAGAGTGCCATGAATGTGGGAAATCTTTTTATGAGTCATAATGCTTTGAGACATCATTACAGCCTTCGCACTGCAGGAAGGATCTAAAACAGCACAGGTGGTGATACTACTTGTGTAGTCCCGTTTAGGGTGGAGGACAACCTCTGAGGTAGCCAGCTACCTGAATTTGAATGTGGTTCCCCTGAATGTCCCCAGTGCAGTGACTTCCCATAAGAACC